GCTACTCAGGAGGCTGAGGCAGGAGAATTGCTTGAACCCAGGAGGCGGAGGTTGCGGTGAGCCGAGATCGCGCCATTGCACTCCAGCCTGGGTAACAAGAGCGAAACTCCGTCTCCAAAAAAAATAAATAAATAAAAATAAAAACAAAAACAAAACAGTCGCTGAAGGAATAAACCCATGGATCGTATGTCACTTAATTCTTAGTCTTGGTTGCCCTTCTGAACCTTCTTTAGATCTCTATGTACCTCTGAAGTTATTAAAGATAGAACAAAGTCCAGGTATTACCTATGCAGTAATATCTCATTTATCTAAATGTAACTACTTCAGATGAAGCCAAGAAGCAGGAAGAAAAACAGGACTATAAGTGGCCAAGAAGATATTAATTCTAAACATAATCAATACCTTATACTTGAGTCATAATTTATGTTTTCACTGAATCTCATTCCATTCTCACAATAGCCCGGAATTAAACAGTCACTGCACCTAACTCCAGGTCACACAGCTACTGAGCCCAACCTCCAACACAAGTGTGTGCACAAGTGGTGTGCACCTTTCACTCTATCAGAGTTCTCTCACACCTGTGCACAAAACTCCATGCCTTTTACTCACTGAAGAGCTCTGCATACTAACCATAACTGTGGCTACTTTGAATGTATTCTTAAAAGGATGTACAGGCACATGAATGTGTACATGGGTGAATGAGGGTTTCAGTGTGTATCTCTCTATACCCAAATTAGAAGCAGAAAGTTGGCCGGGTGCAGCAGCTCACGCCTGTAATCCCAACACTTTGGGATGCAGAGGCGGGTGGATCACTTGAGGTCAGGAGTTTGAGACCAGCTTGGCTAACACAGTGAAACCCTCGTCTCTACTAAAAATACAAAAATTAGTTGGATGCCGTGGTGGATGCCTGTAATCCCAGCTACTTGGGAGGCTGAGGCAGAAGAATCACTTGAACCTGGGAGGCAGAGGCTGCAGTGAGCCAGGATCGTACCATTACACTTCAGCCTGGGCAACAGAGCAAGATACCATCTCAAATAAATAAATAAATAATAAATATTACTTAGATGGAATGATCCTTCTCTGCACATGACATATAAATATATACCCACATTTGAGGGTGCTCCAAGACCAATAGATCCTAAAATTAGTTTTGCTAGTTAGCAACCTACCAGATCATCTGCAAGCAATGCAAGAGAAATCACGATCACATTTCGGACCTCAGTGGAAAACTCCCTTCTTGCAACACAAGGCAGTGCCTTCCACCCCTCCCTGACTGTGGTCGTGAATGACAAACATCCCATACACAGAGATGAGTCCAAGCCAGACATATGGACACACAAAACACCAGGAGGACCCCAGAAAAGACAGCCAGTTCTCTACACAACCGCAGAATAAGGGAAGCTGTAGAAGAAATTGAGAAGTAAATGGGGCAATACAGAAACTGAAAGAGAAAAGGACATGAGCTGATTGGAGAGGGGTGAGCCAATGAGCAATTATACCTGGTGCAAAATTTCTGTGTCCCAACTGCTAGGGCAGCTGCCCCTCAGACTGACAGAATGTCTGAGCTTCTTCACAGCTGTGTGGTGGAAGGCATCTCTAACGCCCTAGGATCTCCCAGGTTGGAAGGGCATTTTTCAAGAATAGAGGCATCTGAGGGATGGGGCTGTGAAGAATCATCATCTCAGCACCCTCCAATGGCTTTACTGATGTACAGATTTAAATAATATTTTATTTATGAGATGGAGAAAAAGCCAAGGTGGATTGAAATGACAGTATTAAGAATCTAGCCCACAGAAGCAGGTGCAGTGGTACATGCTTGTAACCCCAACACTTTGGGAAGCTAAGGCAGGCAGATCACTTGAGGTCAGGTGTTCGAGACCAGCCTGGCCAACACAGTTAAACACTGTCTCCACTAAAAATACAAAAAAATTAGCTGGGCATGGTGGCATACGCCTGTAATTCCAGCTACTTGAGCAGCTGAGGCAGGAGAATCACTTGAACCTAGAAGATGGAAGTTGCAGTGAGCCGAGATCATGCTAATCCAGCCTGGGCAACAGAGTGACTCCATCTCAAAAAAAAAAAAAAAAAACCAGAAGAAAAATCTAACCTACACAAATACTCATGCAAGTGCAAAAGGATATTCACTGGAGCATTATCTGTAAGACTGAGAAACTTGAACCAACATACATGGCCATTAACAGAGGACTAGCTAGGTCAATAAGCTACTTTACATCCTTAAAATTAACATGGAATAACATGAAGCATTTTTAAAAAGTAGATCTGTAAATAGAAAGTCACTGATAATGCTAGGAGGAAAAGCACACTGTAGAATTATATGTAGACTAATATGATCTCATTTTTCTAAAAGAACCAAACTATACCTCCTTTTTTTTTTTTTTTTTTTGAGACGGAATTTCACTCTTGTTACCCAGGCTGGAGTGCAATGGCGCGATCTCGGCTCACCGCAACCTCCGTCTCCTGGGTTCAGGCAATTCTCCTGCCTCAGCCTCCTGAGAAGCTGGGACTACAGGCACGCACCACCATGCCCAGCTAATTTTTTGTAGTTTTAGTAGAGACGGGGTTTCACCATGTTGACCAGGATGGTCTCGATCTGTTGACCTCGTGATCCACCCGCCTCGGCCTCCCAAAGTGCTGCTGGGATTACAGCCGTGAGCCACCGCGCCCGGCCCCGACCTCCTTTTTTTTTTTTGAGACAGAATCTTGCTCTTGTCACCCAGGCTGGAGTACAATGGCTTGGTCTTGGTTCTTTGTAACCTCCACCTCCTGGGTTCAAGCGATTCTCTTGCCTCAACCACCCAAGGAGCTGGAATTACAGGCATGCACCACCATGCCCAGCTATTTTTTTTTTTGTAGAGACGAGGTTTCACCATGTTAGCCAGGTTGGTCTCAAGCTCCTGACCTCAGGTGATCCACTCGCCTCAACCTGCCTAAGTGCTGGGATTACAGGAATGAGCCACCGTGCCCTGACAAAATTACATCTCTTGAAAGAACAAGAGAAAAAAAATCAGTGTGACTGTAGTCTGCTATTCCAGAGGCTGAGGCAGGAGGATAACTTAAGCCTAGAAGTTCGAGGCTGAAGTGAGGTATGATCACACCACTGCACTCCAGTCTGGGTGACAGAGCAAAACACCTGTCTCTTTAAAAAAAAAAAAAAATCAGCCGGGCGTGGTGGCTCAAGCCTGTAATCCCAGCACTTTGGGAGGCCGAGGCGGGTGGATCACGAGGTCAAGAGATCGAGACCATCCTGGTCAGCATGGTGAAACCCCGTCTCTACTAAAAATACAAAAATCAGCTGGGCATGGTGGCACGTGCTTGTAATCCCAGCTACTCAGGAGGCTGAGGCAGGAGAATTGCCTGAACCCAGGAGGCAGAGGCTGCGATGAGCCAAGATCACGCCATTGCACTCCAGCCTGGGTAACAAGAGTGAAACTCTGTCTCAAAAAAAAAAAAAAATCAGAAAAAAATGCAAACTACTAATAGTGCTTACCATGAGAAGTTGGGGGAATGGTGAGTGTTACTGTTTGAATTTTCACACAAAGCATACATTAATTTTAACTAATATATATATACATGTGTTGTCAGAGGCATTCCCTTCCATCTACTTCTTACTCCCAGACTACACCCACATCCCAGCCTCTGCCCAGCCCTCCACCCACCACCTCCTGCCCCAGCCCCACTTACAGATGCAGGCAGCAGCCAGCAGGCGGCTGGCAGCATAGGGGGCGAAGCAGCTTGGGAAGAAAGGCTGTATCATGTAGTTGGCAAAGGTGATGGCAATGACGGCCTGGCTGGTGGGCTCAATGATGAGCAGGGAGGTCCAGAGTCTGATGAAGGCAAGGAATCCTCCAAAGGCCTCCAGGATGTAGGCATAGCTGGCCCCAGATTTCTTAATGGTGGTGCCCAGTTCTGCATAACAAAGGGCCCCAAAGACGGAGAAGAGGCCCCCAACAGCCCAGATGACCAGAGAGAGACCAAAGGAGGCACTGTACAGGAGGACACCCTTGGGGGAAACAAAGATGCCCGAGCCGATCATGTTCCCCACAATCAGGCACACGCCGTTAAGCAGTGAGATCTCCTTCTTCAGCTTTACCTGCTCGGGCCCTGGGCTGGCCCCATCACCCAAAGGGGAGGTTTCCACCTCATGCTGGGAGCCCACTTCATACTCAGTGCTGTCAACCATGGTGGAGGAGAGGAAAGCCTTCACCAGCTTCCTTGCATTGCCCTTTAAGGAAAAAGATGATGCTATATATTAGGTGGTTGGCAATTACATAGAACCTCTACCTGCCTCCAGCACAGGCTAATATGGGCAGCCCACCCACCACTGCCGAGCTCTCCAAATAATCTTTTCTCCAGGGCACTCATCAACTTGAATTTTTTTTTTCTTGAGACAAAGTCTCAACTCTGTCGCCCAGGCCAGAGTGCAATAGCACAATCTGGGCTCACTGTAACCTCTACCTCCCAGGCTTAAGCAATTCTCTGCCTCAGCTCCCAAGTACCTGGGATTACAGGCACCTGCCACCACACCTGGCTAATTTTTATATTTTTTTTAGTAGAGACAGGGTTTCACCATCTTGGTCAGGCTGGTCTTGAACTCCTAACCTCGTGATCCACCCGTCTTGGCATCTCAAAGCCCAAAGTCCTGGGATTACAGGTGTGAGCCACCAAGTCCCACTTCTTTTTTTTTTTTTTTTTTTTTGGAGATGGGATTTCGCTCATGTTGCCCAGGCTGGAGTGCAATGAAGGGATCTCAACTCACTGCAACCTCCACCTCCCGGGTACAAGCGATTCTCCTGCCTCGGCCTCCAGAGCAGCTGAGATTACAGGCACGAACCACCACTCCTGTCTAATCTTTTGTATTTTTAGTAGAAACGGGGTTTCACCATGTTAGCCAGGCTGGTCTCGAACTCCTGATCTCAGGTGATCCGCCTACCTGGGCCTCCCAAAGCGCTGAGATTACAGGCATAAACCACATCACCTGGCCCTCCAACTTGAATTTTTTTTTTTTTTCTTTTTTGACCCTTCAGGTGAAA